GCGCCGCCACCAATACTCTACCCCCCTCCCCACCCCACCCACTATTACTCTCCCTTCTAGCCACACATCTCACCCTTCCCTCTCGGCGCCTTCCACTCGTCTCTTCTTCTCTTCTTCGCTTCTCTCCTATCATCGTGTTTTCGCTTCTTCTCTTCTCTTCTCTTCTCTTCTCTCTTCGCCTCGGCGCCTGTTCTCGAGCATTGCTGCCACCCATCGCACGACCAGCGTGGGGTGAGAAACTCTAGGGCCGCAGTGCCGACCGCGAGCGAGACGCGCGCGATTCTACGCGGAGTGGGGCCAAGTGTCGACGCGAGGATCGGGTTATGGGGGCGGACTCCGAGGGATCAGCCGTCTTTTCTCGTTGCCGCTGGCGAAAGCTAGCCGAGTCGTCCTTTTTTCGAGTTCTTAAAACCCCCCGACTATTGTTTCATCGCAAAAAACCATCGGGGATATATCCTTGAAAGAGCAGTGATCCATGGTGTATTAGAATTTCTGAGCACGTTGATCGACCACCGGTTTAAATCAACGTACAATTTCGTTCGAATCAAAATCGTCTTCCCGCGAAACTGTTCTGATAACGCACCGAATTTTAACACGTTGATAATGTAAGAAATGAACGATAATATGGTTACAGTTTCGTGACATCGTCCTTCTTAAAGAAATCTACGTAAAATGAAGTTTGGAAGCATGTGTTTTTCAACTTTCGCTTTGATTTCTAAGCGAAAGTACTTTTGATCGTTTGAATTTCGCGCTCGAAAACATCTGATATTCTACGGCCCTGTAGTCACGTGACGAAAACACGATGTGACGTCACACGCGCAGCAGCAGCCAACTGCCAGTCCAACATGGTTGACCTGTGAGCATCGGTGCTACGAACGGCCGTCCGCATTAATTGTTCGTTTCTTTCGATCGTGCGCGCTTCGTTAACGTCGAAAACCGTTAATATGATATCTTCGATCGTCTCGCGTCTTGTCATGTGAGTATTTCGATCCTATGTTACCGAGAACCACGAAGTATAGTACGAACGAAACGTTAACTGCGTCTGGGATTTTCGCCATCGTTAATCCAGGGTTGTTCGATTATATTTATCAATTTACGTCTCGATTTATTCCATTCCTCGCTCTCGTGCGTTATCTTATTTTCCAGGAACGGATTTTTCTTGTTCGTTTCGTTTCAAACAAGGTCGTACAGTCGACGAATCGTTCGGCAGTTACTGCCCCTTTTTTGTTTCGACCGTATTCGACGAAGGAAAGACAAAGCGTGTCATCGAGTCGGTGTGCTTGTGTAATAATTCGTATCGGATCGAAGGTGCAGTGTTCACAGTGAAAAAAGTAAAACGATCGGATTCACGAATCTGTTTCGTCGTGAAGAAATTATGTCATCGCGTCGTCGCAGCGCGATTCGAAGAAAGATTTCCATGTTTGGTTACAAGTTCCACAGCGACGTCTAACCAATTGCGATTACGTTTGAAAATAGTCACGGTTGCCCGAATCGAGTATCGATTTATCGACGAAACTAAAATCCACCACGAAACGTTTAATTGCTTCTGCGTCGAGGCATTTCGAAATCTCGATGAACAAAGGTAAGAGAAAATCTGTACATTCCCATATTAGGAAAGCGAACGGTAAACAAAGATTTACGAGTTTAACAAGGACACGACGCGTTACGTAGTCGGCAAACTTTTGATAGAACAAATGTTCCACCTCCGTGCGTTCGCATAAGTGCGTATCATTGATGCAACAGCGATTTTCATATGCCGGTGAAAGTGCATTTTCCTCGAGCAATATATTTTCTCGCCTAACCTAACCTAACCGAACCGCTGGCTTTCGGATCTCAACACCAGGCGCCTACCCCACCATTGCGGACGTACACTCGCGTTACGACATCTCGCGCATAATCCGTCGCTTTTACTACCAGTTCGGAATTATAATCGAACGTATAAATTTTCCTTATACGCAAATTTAAATATTTCCTTATACGTTCAACGAATAATACTGCAAATCCTTTTTATCTCCTATTCAATCGTATTTCGATTTTCCTTTTTAATATTCGAAGGCCACCATCTTTTACGTAATGCGAAAAATTTTATTTCTTGTACCATGTACTAGTGATGGAACTCAAATGTTGGACAGGTTCCATAGTCTGGGTCCGCACATGTACCCCTTTATTCTTCGTTCTCATTTTCTATACGGACGGTTTAAAAGTAGTCACGTTCCCTTCGAACAGGAATCATGCGAGACATTCGTGGCCATTGTTCCTCGATGACCGTTGACATCGTCAGCTGATCGTATGGATATGAAAGTCGACAAAGAACGTGTTATCTTATCGACGAAGAATGTTTAGTCACTTCTGTTTGTACCGAGAATTCGATTGTCAGCGACGTAGTTCGATGACGGATTTAAATGAGGGCAGCCATTAAGCAACTTGAACTTCATTGTTACTTAAGAAGCACAGAGAGCTTACTTGAAAAATTATTGAAACGATAATTATTATTGGAGAGATTGAGTTTTAATTTGTAATCTGGTAGATGAAACGATCGATTAGTTCGTTAGTACTGCGTCGTTGGGTATCAGCTGATCGGGACTTTTACGTCACAATGGTGGAAAAGTGGCGTCGCGCGTTCTCTTAGGCAGCACGCTTTGTTGGCGTTGGCAAACTCACAATCGGCGATAACAACACGCGTGCAGAGTGCAGGCTAGTGACTCATGTCGGTCGCACTTGAAAACAAACTGGAACGAGGCGGAGAAACGCTGATTCCAAATCGGACATAACGGGAGCCTCTGAAAAGCTTGCTGATCCAACTAGTTACCGTGCCAAGTACGAACGAGTCGATAATTGGAGCTTAGGATAGATCAGTTCGAGGTCAACCTGAACGTTGTTCAACCGTTTCGTTTTTACCTCGAGCAACCTCGTAATTAGTCTACAAAGTTTTCGTCTCGCAACCATATTGCAGAACCACAAATAGAATCGAATCGTATTCTTTTATGGGATACACGTGGACTACGAAACGGAAGAGAAAAACGGGTCATCCTTTCAATAATGCCGCGTTATCTCGTTCTTACCATATTGTTTAAGTGCCAATGAGTCACGTGCGTTCGACACGGTCTTTGTACGCCGCCTGGCATTGTCTGCTCAAGATACACAAGTCCATTTTCCTTTCACTTCGTCAGTATGACCACGTGTAAACGTTCGAAAG